TTGTTTAGTGCAGTCGTGTCACATGGTAAGATTCCGTCTTTGTTTAGTGCAGTCGTGTCACATGGTAAGATTCCGTCTTTGTTTAGTACAGTCGTGCCACATGGTAAGATTCCATCTTTGTTTAGTACACATGTTTTCAACAGAGAACTGATATACAATCATGTTGTTTTGTCTAATGTCACTTTTGCTCAGTATAGTCAGGTCACATTGTTTGCTTTCGTCTTTGTTTAATACAGTCGTGTCACCGTTGAAATAATATTTATAATTATTGCGGTCATATTACAAAGTTTAATTTATTATAATTGTAGTATTATATTCTTTAATCTTATCTCCATTTATTACAGGTTATGTTGTCTTTTTCTGTTAACATATTCGTGTGGCATTTTTGTAATTTCTTTTGTTTTTAGCATAGTTATGATACATATATATTTTGCACATTTATTATTTATTGTTATATTATATTATTTGATTTTATTTATTTTTATTTCATCACATCACGTGTTCTAATTTCATTTACATTTCATAAGATTCTGTTAGCATGTTTTAGTTTTAATATATATACATTTGTACGTTTTGGTTTATTTCTGGCTATTTGGTCGTTTTAGATGTATAAACTAAAAATATGTGTTTTTCTTTTATATCTAACAGCAATCTTTGGTCTTAGTCTTTATGAACAAAGCTATACCTTCGGAAATGTTTATGATTTTTGAAAGGGTCAGTTTTCTTTTTTAACAGCTATCAGGACGTATTTGGTTTAAAGTATGTTTGAGATTAAGTATAGTGTAGATATTCCATACGGATAGATCTAAACGACTTAACGTATTAAGGTACGATGTGGACAGAAATGTTTGGTTTAAAGATCAAGGAAGATTAGAGAATACGTGATAATTGAAGTTAGGTAGACTAAGAAACAAAATTATAAGACAGAAGAGAAAAGTTGTGAGCGATGAGATGAAAACAGAAGGAATCAAAATAAAATTTAACTTGTGTAAAGTGTGCGCTGATCTCAACCAACAGTGAAAGATTTCCGATTCCTTATTTTATGGAAGATCAGATGTAACTAAAATTATGATATTTTCAACTGCAAACCTTATTCCGTTCTTTTTTTTTATCAGCAGCTTTAAACAAAACAAAATGAGATCTGAAGTTAATTATGTCGCAAAAAAAAACAACTCTTCTGTAGTCAGATTAATGTGTTTGTGTTTTGATTTTCTATTTTTAATATTTGACTTAATACTTCAGTATCACAATCACTAAGATTCAGTGGCGGTGCTACAGAGGGGCAAGGGAGCATTTGCCCAGCCAAATTTTTTATTGCCCCCCCCCCCCAAAGCTACACACATCGAGCAAATGTGATGTATATAACAATAAAACGCGCAGGGGATGTCTTTTTTTTCGTGTATGCTAGGAGTCAACCAGATACAACCTACAATAATAGGTCTTCCCATTAACCCTACTTTTTATACTAATGGTACTATTGTACTAAATAATTATTTAATTAATTAAATAATGTCGAAATAAAATTATTCATCAATCCACTTTTAAAGGGACTTGTTGTCCTAACTCCCCCCCCCCCAAAAAAAAATGCTAGATATACTAGAATAGTCAAAAACCTTCTGATCCTTTCCAAGGTCGGTAAATACTTTGGGGCTTCAGAACTCAATGCAAAGTACCTTTTGAAACCCTACGTTGGCTCAGTGTAATTTAGCGCACTAAAATTTAAGGGGAATAATGAGTCCCTTGAAAATTACATGTGAGTATAGGTTGTCTTCTTTTGCCCCCAAAATTTGGGCTCCCCCCAAATTTTTGGTGTTGGCGCCGCCACTGCTAAGCTTCAATGTTAATTAAAATCAACAAGGGTCATAAACAGTTAATAGCTTCACCTTAAACATATATATCTCATTTCGAAGCTGGTAATCTATAAATTGTACGTGGGACAATCTAAGGACAGTGTAAAGAAAGTATTTCGAGAGTTCATATAGCTTTTGGTATCTGGTATTTTCAACACGAACGACCTATGAGCTAAAAGACCTGGCCAGAAACATCTAAGAATTAGACATAGTCATCTATAATTTAAAACAGTGAACATCAGTTAATAATATCTGCTGCTTACACCACTACTCATAATTAAACAGCGGAACTGACTGTCATTTTTATAACGTGATAATACCTGAAAATGCGAAGTCTGTTCAATGACATATTGTAGGTTCAAACATTGGACGTGCCGGTTCGACATACTAGTCACTTGGCCAGTAATCACTAATAAATAATAGTTCGGTATATGGACAGCAAAGTTTGATAAACCAATGAATAAAATGCTATGGAAACAGAGATTAATCACCTATTAATGTTAGAGTTGGATGATTAATTTTACAATTCTCATATTATAACATGTTACTCATGGTTTTACTATATTTAAAGATATAATTCTTTATCTATTCTTACTAACATGTAAATACAGATTAACCAAAATCTGCGTACAATATGCAGGTTCAAGCGGGAACAATACTGATAATTATACTCACCATGAACAGCACTGAGATTGACCAAAATCTGCCTACAATATGCAGGTTCAAGCGGGAACAATACTGATAGTTATACTCACCATGAACAGCACTAAGATTGACCGAAATCTGCCTACAACACGTGGTGTTCAAGCTATAACAATACTGATAGTTATACTCACCATGAACAGTACTAAGATTGGCCAAAATCTGCCTACAACGCGTAGTTTCAAACTGTGACAATGTTAGCTATACTCACCATGAACAACACTGCTACTTTACATGTGAACTTGCTTAAATGAAACCTTATATCAAGGAAAATATGCTCATTTTTTTTGGCTTCTCTTTGTGCATATCCTCCGGAAGATCGTCATCAGTTTATTTATTAGTTATGTAGTACAATTATCTGTAATCTACAAAACTATTTGCTAGTAATCAATGTTGTCTTGCTCTTATTAAGTAAATTAATATAAAGCTTTTCAGAATTTATTATTGACAAGTTTACAACGATGTATGCGATTAAAATTGCCACACAGTTAGTTAATACATGACTGGTTTGGAGCTATTTGATAAGTTATATCTAAAAAATTAATGTTCGTATTCAAATTACACAATCACCTTGGTTGGTTAACCATCTAGTCTTCAGAAGTGTCAAACGTATTTATGTCCAGGAAAAGCTTTAACTTACTGGTATATAAAATGTTGTGGCTGTTTGTTTATTTAGCTAAAAATATTAAATTAATTAAACCAGTCATTCTTTTGTAACATGCTTAGGGTGTTTTATATCTTTTCACATTTGAAAAGGCAGGGTAAATATCATAAACATTATATTGATTTCAAGAAGTATGAAATAATTATAGTTTATTTCGTATTAATAATAAAAATTAATGAAGAACAGCATTTCATGGATTTCAAGAAACATGTACCAATTAAACTCTAATTTCATATTAATAATATATAT